GACTATGTTTCTCCTACACATATACATCCATGGTAAAGACAATTTATAAATTAAACACAGTAAGAGATTAACAGCAATTACTAAGAATAAGAGAGGACAATTATAACACTACGCTGCAATGAAAGCTTTATGAATGTGGTCTTCTCTCAAAATATCTTATTGTGTATAATGTATTTTCAGGCCATGGTTAACTAGGGTAACTGAGACTGTAGGAAGCAAAACAGCAGATAAGGGGGACATCTGTACTGAGAAGTATGATCAAGCACCAGGATTAAAGCATGCCCTTCAGCATGGGGAGAGTAAGGGTGAATTCCTGTTCTGCTGTGTGACCTCCAGCAAGGTACGTGACCACTCTGAGTTTAATTCCACATCAATTTAAAGAAGGAAAAGAGAGGCTCTACCTCATAGGACTGTAGCGAGGAAGAATTGAGATGGTGCATATGGAAAACACAGAAGTACTGCACATTATGTCCACCACTGCAATTATAAAGCAGAAGTGGCTCTTCACCTTTCCTGGGTCACAGGTACCACTAAGAATCTAAAACTTTAACAAACAAAATCTTGAGCTCCTCTAGGAAAGCGCAATCTGCAGTCACATGACCTGCTGTCACTAATTTCAGACTGTCTGCTGAGTCTCTGACAACAAAGACCCCCATTAAGAAGCACCAAGCAACTACAAATGCCTGCTTCTTTCATGTGGGCAAACGCAAGCCAAGACAGCCAGGTACCCTAGCAGCAAGGCGAGAGCTGGTGTCCAAGCTTCCAATCCAGCTCTTTTTCAACCAAGAAAGCTGCCTTTATTTATAAGCTAAAATTACATTTAAGCACTCAGGCCTGGATACCACAAATATCCTTTTGTACAGTGTTTCCCTTAAAAGTCCTCTTATGACAACAATGTGTTTTGTTAAAGTGGTAAGAGGGGAAGTCAAGAAAAAGCACAAAGACAGAAACATACCAACCAAAACCATGACAATCCAGTCTCTGAAAACAACTGCATTTACTTCTCTTTTACAAGGACCCAGAGAGATGACTACACTCCAATCTTACAGTCAGAAATACAATCTGTGTTGGGAGGTATAACACTTACTCCCAGACTTCTCAACTGTATCTTTATTGATTCAGGCAAGGGTCACCAATAGATGAAACTATGAGATGAAAGGCTGATGGGTAACTTCACAGAGGAAGGAGCAGCCGACCCCACACAAACCCAAGGCTTAACCTCAGCATCCACCCCAGGAGTGGGTCATCCAGTCTTCCTGATGTGGGAAGATTCAAGATGCACTATAAGGTATTCTTGGTGTTGGGGTGGGGCAAGGAGCCAGAACGTGATCTAGCTGCTAGCACTTCCTTCCACTCTCTAGCCGGAAGCACTGGTCTCTTTCAGGAGGAAGGGCACAATAAAGTGGGAAGAAGTAGGTCTGCTAAGGATGAAAACACAAAGAAGAAATACAACAACCCAATGCAATGCAACCACGTTTGAATCTCAACACAAGCAAATATTTTGTAAACCGTCAGGGACATCAAATAGGAACCTAGTATTAAGCAATATCAAAGAACTGTTCATTTTGTTAGGGGTGACACTGTGGTGATGTAAGAAACTGTGTGTTATTCTTATTCATACACATGGAAATACGTGGGATAAAATGGCATGATGTCTAGGATTTGCTTCAAAATACTAAGCAACAGCAACAACAAAATGAATGAAGCCAGAGACCCCTTGTGCACATTAAATCTGGATGTGATGGGCACATAGACTCATTTTCTCTACTGTGTAGTTTTGAAAATTTCCATGGCTAAAAAATACAACTATCTTTTAAAGTCCTATACAGGATAAAATGGAAAATGAAAAAGATAAAATGAAAGCAGAACCGTCTATGCTCTCCAGACTACTCATTCATAAGAATATGTTCTTGATGAAATCTCAGTGTTGGAAAGAGCCCAAGAGGGCATCTAGTTCAGGGACTCGCAAATCTGGCTGCGAGTCAGACATAACTATGAAGCTTATCAGAACTACCAATTTTCCCCAACCCACCTCCAACCTACAGAATCCAAATCTCCAGGGGCAAAAAATGGTAATTGTTTTAAGTGCCACAGGTGATTCTGATGCAATCAAGTGCGCTCTCACTGAGCACCCCATCCAAACAGGTGTCAGCAGGGAAGGTGTTCCAGCCCCTCAGGACTAGGATCAGAGCACCCTGCGTTCTCACAGTTCTGTCAAGTTCAAAACTGGGCTCAACACTTTTAAAAGAAAACTAAGTGGAGTGGCCAATCCTATGAATACAGTTTGCAAGGCTCCCACTGTCTCCTTTTGCTAACATTTCTCATAAACATTAGGCACATTTAGTCATTGTGCTGAGGCCAAACCTGAGTGTGGGAGCTATCGCCAAGTAAAATCCCCCAGGAGAAAACAACTTTACCTGTGGAGCCCAAGGGACTTTCACTGGGCAAAGTGTCAGGGAAAATGCTTTCCCCTTTACTCAGCTAGCCGTACTAGAAAACCCCAAATACACGGGCCAAGTTCACTGTCCTGGGGGTACCTGGGAGCACCTAGAAGTTCCTGGGAGTATCTGGGAGTACCTGGAAGCACGTGAGAGTTCATGAAAGCACATGAGAATATCTGGGATCACCTGGGAGCATCCGTGAAGACTTGGGATCACCTAAGAGTCCCTGGGAACACCTAGGAGCATCTGGAAGTACCTGGAAGCACCTGAGAGTACATGAGAGCATCTAGGAGCATCTGGGAGTACCTGCAAGCACCCGAGAGTCACTGGGGGTATCTAGGAGTACCTGGAAGTAACTGGGAGTCTACACTTCTCAGAGCAGCCACCAGCTAGCTCTAGAGTAAACCAAGGAAAAAAGGAGAAAAAGGGGAAACTCACACTCTTTGCTTTGCTCTCACAGCATCACAAACACTGGGAACAAATTCCCAACCACAAAGCTGACTGGCACTTGATCAGAAACATGCCAATACAGGTCAGTTTGGCGAGGAAGCCAGAACAGCGTTTCACAAGATTAACAATCTCAAGTCTTAAAACCACTCCCTTTCAACAGGCGATATGTGTGGAATGACAACCTTCACCCCTGGAAAACATGATGTGGGGGGGGTGGTCAAAGGGGAGACGGCGCTTGTGCCAGAGGGCCCCACACACCCACTTGTCACTCCCAGGCTGATGGTTAACCCTCCCAGGCTCTCAGACACCGTGCAGTGGGGCTGGCTGACATTTCAGAGCGCACCTTTGCTAAATCCCTCTCCGGCGAGCACAGGCATGCGGTGACTTGTCGCAGTCGCACACCCAACTCAAAGCCCTGTGCCTAGCTTTACCAGAGACATGTGACTTTGGGCACCTTTGAACACCACTTTCTTCTCTACTTTCTAACCCTAATTGCTTTCTAAGACTGTCTATTTCTCACCACAAGGACCTACTTACACAGAGGCTTTTAATACCACAGACTTAGTTCTTGACATGGAAGCAACCAATTTTCTCTGAGTTCAAAGAATGATCTTACAACAGTCAACAGAGCCAGGTTCAGAGGTCAGTCTGCAAATGTTGATACTGAGGTGTAGTGGAGGAGGGAGGAGAGTGGAGACCTGGAGAAAAGAGCTGGCTCCTTGGCTCCTCCACTGCCACAGAACTTCCCCTCCGGGATTAAAGGCAACGCCCTTCAAATGTTATAGCCACATAAAAATAAGGGCCTGGGGAAGGAGGGCCACTTGTGAATATTCACTTTGCACACTGGCTCCAGGTGTCCTGCGCACCAGCGATCAAAGGCAAAGCTCTCCAGGGTCCACATCTTTCTTTTTCCCAGGCAACACCCCTCTTCAACCCCCACATGCTTGTTCCCCATTGTGATCATAAAGGCGGGTGAACAGCATCTGCAGACAAACGTGCCCAGTGGCAGCAAAGAGAAATATGGCTCTGCCACTTCCACACCAAAGACAAGCAGAATTCTCTTGGGCTCAAGATTCTATTGAAAACTGAAACATTCTGGAGAGAAATGAAAAACCCCAGCCCTCCACAGTTGCTGAGCCCACATAATAGCGGTCCTGAGCCCAAACCTGAACTTCAAAAAGGGTGACCTGCAGATGCACACAGCAGCGTTATTGACAAGAAAAACAAAGCCGGGAAACTCAGTTGCAAGAAAACTTTGTGGCTGGAACATTCAGGGACTATTTATTTTAACTGTGGCTGCCTTGCTTTTCCAGAACTCAAAGTTTGATCACAATTCTGTTTCCCAGTTCCAACAGCCAATCTTATTTCCATAGCACTTATTCCATTGCTCAAAAGATACAGCAAATTATTCAAGCCATCTCCTTTTAGCAGACCAGGAAGCTCAAGCTAAAATGTTAGAGTCAAAATTCCACCTTTTGAGAGTCAGCTTCTAACAGGAACTTGCCCTGAGCCATTTTTTCATCCTCAGGGAGTTTCCAAGATGCCAGATACTTAAAGTCCAGACACCTGATTTCAAGAAAGTCACTTGGACAATTCGTCGGGTCTTGGAGCAGATAAGCACAATCTGTCGCCTCCCAATGCCCACTAGTGTCAACTTATCCCAGAATCCTTAAGCTGCCTTTCACCAAGCAATGTTCAGAAAGAAAATGTCGTTTTTCTCTAGTACTTGATGGCAATTTTCCTAAAATACATATACATATATTTTTGTATTTAACGGCTGCCCTTACCATACAGACCTTTGTTTAGACTAACACCAAAGCAAGGCGACCCCTGGGAGGGATGACACTGAGAATCAACCAAGGGAGCAAAAATGCATCAGATGCCACAGTGGGAGGCCCTCCTTGCAGCCCAAACTCCAAAAACAGGATTCACCTAATACAAGCTTAGGGGAAAGAAAGTTCTTTACAACTACGCAAATGAACGAAATAAAATTAGCTGTTAATAACTGCACCATCAAGCGTGATGAATTTACATCCCTGAACATTTTTTAATGAAGGACATTGACAAATTTAAAACAGAAAACCTTGAGCTGCAGACACAAAGGCTTACCTGACTCCTCTCTTTGTCCACCTTCTTAAAACACTTATTCAATGACAAATTATGTCTCACTGAGTTTTTCCACCCAGTAGGTGCATTTGCAAAATAAGGAAAATGTTCCAAGATCCAGTTGTAGATATCCTTTACCGGCAGGCGCTTGGTTGGAGAGTCCTCGATGGCCATAAATATGAGGCAGCTAAAAGAGTAGGGGGGTTTGCAGTTGGGGTTCTGCCTGGCATCGTAGGGCATGTCAGAGTGGGCGGGGGACGGGGGGGTGTCATCATCCAGGTCCTGCACGGGGCTCACACTCCTCAGGACAGACTCCCCGAAGCTCTTCAGCAAGTTCTTACTCTCGTGCAGCCAGTTCAGGTTGGTCAGCTCTTCATCTTCCATGGCCCCCTCTTCTAATCGGATGTCAGGCAGAGAAAAGTCGAGGTCATCGTCTTCCTGAAGGGCCTTGGAGAAACTGCTGCCCCGGTAACACTGACTCAGCCCACTGGAGACACTAATTCCTGAGCTTTCTGGCTTCTTACTGGGAGGCATGACTGGACCCATTTACGTGAAGGCTCCTGGGAAACACAGTACAGAGAAAAGATGAGCAGGGCAATCTCTAAACAGAAAGGCAGACGTGTTCTCCTAGTTGTCCAGCCTCCCCCCATCACAGAGGAACCCCATCTCATGGCAGCCACACTGAGCAACACCAACCCACAACCCCACTTCATAGAGATGTACCTAAATCAGTCACGTTGGTCCCCAAGCTTTTGATACTACAGTGACTTGTCACCCTTCAACCCCACAAGACTGGAAATAGATCAGCACCGATAATGTGCAAACACATCATCAAGAGGACTGGCAATTCCAGCAGTTGTCTTCCTGGCTCAGGGAAAGATGGTGACTTTGGAAAATCCATTATTTCTTATACCTTGGTTTCCCTACAATACATGTATAAACACACATGTAAAATTCATATGCTTCCAGATCACACAACAAAATAAGCACAATGCAGAGCTCCTGTCCCTGTTACAGGTCTCACTGTCCTTCTCAAAAAAAAAAAAAAGACCACAGAAAAACTTGTAAGTGTAATGTCGGTTGTTTCCGATTAAGCTCAGCTGTTTCCATAACAAAAATGTCAGATCTGACTCGAAATTAACTGTGGCCACAGAGAGCATGACTTGGTTTTAGTGTTTGTTTAGTGTTTTCTTTGATTTTTTTTTTCCTTCCACAAGTCATAACTGAAAACTGCAACTTAATTACCACTGGCCAGTCAAAAAAGAGCAAACAAGGAATTTTGTGGATTTAACTGGAAAAGGGAGTACGTTTAACTTTACTGGGTCCCTGCAATCCAGACAAAAAGTAAGTTCAGGAAACACATCGATGGATGGGACTGTAAAGACAAGTCATCAACTGAAGTGGAATTAATGGAAAAAGTCAGGAGAGGGACTGGGTAGCTTCAGGACAGGAAGGCAACAAAATTCAACAAAAATCGCTACAGATTTCAGATTTCTGTTCTGTCACCGTCTCCAACCCATTTTTATCAATGACCTAGTACAGGGAGCAAATTATCTGACGAGAAAAGAAAAAAAAGGAGGTGGTGAGACCACAAACAGAATGACATGCGGACAGATACAAAGCATGTTCACCCTCTGGATCTCGTGTAAGACAGAAAGCACAGTGAAGATAATCAGAGGACTCCCATCTCCGTCTGTGGAGCTGAACAATGTGCTTCATTTAAGAAGTGAGCGTCTATTTTACTTCCCCGCCTTGAATAAGATCAAGCAATCTAAGGGGGAAAAAAGAATGAACACATCAAAAGCAAAGATGTCATCATTCTAAATGTCCATTAAGGCCATGCCTAAAATAACCACTACTTCAGCTGAGAGGCTCTAGAAGGGGATTCTAGAAAGCATAACATGGGGCACTCTAGAGCCAGTCAAGAGTTCTGGGGAAAGGCAGTGCTCTCTCTCCCTCTTCCACAAGGGAGGTAAACAGCTGCAGAGAGAAGTCTGAAGGCAGAGGTCTAGAACTACAGTGAGAAACCCTGCTACAAGAGAAAACTTTGACAGGGTATCTAGTTCCCACAAAGGCAGGGCAGTTCAGACACCTACCAGTCATCCCCGGGGAGTATTTCTTTCTAATAGCACATGACGCCTTTTAAAGAATGAGCTAGGGCCTTTAGATTGGGGATATGACAGCAACCAGCCTGACATTACTTTTACCTTCTTGATGGACAGTTCAAAGACCATCTCCCACAAAGTTTCCTCTGATCCCAACACAAAACCTAATTTTCTGATAACCAGGACTATCCAAATACCACAATACCAAAGAGAACAACTACCCAGCCACCGGAGTCAACTTCAGCTCCAGATGAAAGTTTTATGTCTCCTGAGCTTCCAAACAGGAAAATTATATCATGGCTGACAGTAAAGTAATTTAATTGCACTGTTGCTATGACAACATGCTGCTCTCTTTCTTTTTAATTTGCTTATTTGTCAGTCGCTTCCCAAAGGAACTAACACGCTATTCTCCATGTTTTCTTTTGTTTTAAACAAACATTGCCAGCAATATGGTTTTATTTAAAAAAAAAAAAAAGGCACTGTCAAGAAGAGAGGGCTAGGGAGCCTCAGCACCCTGGGATCACTTGTCTGCTTTGTGTCCTTCCCGTCTGCCCTCCCACTGTTAACAGCATCCCTATAAACCGCATTTTATAGTAACAGTATCAAAAGCGGCAGATCACTGCAGTCCCATGTTCAAAAACAGTTCCCAGAAACCACCGCCGAGGAGTTTTCCATTATTATACTCTAACTGCACAATTCGCCAAATCCATTTTCCTTCTATTTCAGATGGGGGAAAAGCGAATCTGGAGCATATGAGTCTGCAGTTGAGCAAACATTTTTAATCTGCTGCCAATAGGTTGCTCCACCAGACAATCAGTGGTGACCTTACAACTTTTCTATCTGTATGGCTTATGCTTCCCCCCCACCCCACACCCCCCCCGCCAGCCCCGCCTCACCCACACCCCCTCTTTTTGTTTTGTTCCCCTTGCTGTGTTTTGTTGTCTTGTTTGCTTTTTAACAGAGACAATTCAGCAGGAAAGCGAGTTTCTCGCCCGCTATCAGGTCTCCAAAAAACTGACAAAGACGTTGCTGGCCCAGCTCTGCACAGATGTCCAGGGCGAACTTTAAAAAGTTGAGAAATCCTCCTCCGGCGGAGCAAGGCAGGGGCGAGTCTGGGGGGGGCCGGATCCCCGCTGCTCGCGGGCGCGCGCACACGTGCACGCGCCCCACTCGGGGCTACTGTACTTGTCAAAAACATTTCAAGGGGACCTGCGGGAGCGGCGATTGGCTGCATCCCGCGTCAGTCAGCGGCGTTGCCGGGCGACGGGGAAACCGCTCCTCTCCCAGCGCAGGGCGCCGGGGAGCCCGCATACCTCCACTGCCGGTCAGATGTCATAAACCTTTTATTGGCCGCGCCGCCGCGAGCCTTAAAAACACATCGGTAAAAGCCCTCCGTCCCCCAACTTCTGCAGGGCCCCGGGAGGGCTCCGAAGCGGGCTGGGGCGAGGAGGGGTCGGGCCTCTGGAGACGCTCACTTCGGGTGCCGAGCCTGCCCAGCTCGGGGTGGGGGGATCTTTGTTAGGAGTCCGCACCCCATCTCGGGGTGCCCCCGCGATCGGCACCCGCTCCCTCGGCCCGCGGCCGCGGGGACCCGGTCCTCGGCGGACAATGCCAACTCCGTGCTCCCGGGCGTCGCTTCGGACCCCGCGGCCCCGGGCAGCAGCGCGCACGTCGGGACAGGAAACTCCGGACCCCGCAACTTCCCGGCGCGGGGCGCCCGCCTCTCCCGGGCCCCCCGCCCGGCACGCTCCCCCCGGGACCCGCGGAGTCGCCGTCCGCCCGGAGCCCGAGCTCGCCCCCGGGACGGCTCGGGACGCGCGCCCCGCCCGGGGCACCCCACTTGCACTCGGGCGCCGGCGGGAGCAGGGCGCGAACTCACCTGGCCGGAGCGGGGCGCGGGGCGCCGCTGCCCTTCAGCGCGAGCCACAAACTTTCGAGGGCGCCCAGCGGGCATGGCCTGCGGGCCCGGCTGAGGACGCGCGGGCGAGGCGCGGCGGGCGCGGGGCGGCGGGCGGCGGGGGGCGGCCGCGGGCGCGGGCGCGAGCGGCAGGGGCGCGGGGGTCGCGGCGCGGCATGGGACCTGCGGCTCCGCCGGGCGCGCCGCGCGTCCTCCCGCCGGCCCCGCCGCTCTCCCCGCCCCGTCCCGCCTCCCGCTCGCCTCCGCCGCGGCGCGTCGGGCCGGGGCGCGCCGAGCGGCGAGAAATTGTTTCCACTGCAAACAAAAAAGGCGACACATGACCAGGCAGGAGGAGGGGAAGCGCGGGGCGGGCGGGCGGGCGGGAGGGAGGGGCGCGCGGGGGGCGGAGGGAGTCGGAGAGAGGGAAAACGTGGGCCGGGCCGCCGGCGGCCTGGGGCGCCCGGCGCGGCCCCGCCAGGCAGCCCCGGCCCGCGCCCCCTCGCCGCGAGCGGCCCCGCGCCCCGGCGCTCCCCAGGCGCGAGCGCGGCCCGGCCGGAGACCCGCCGGGACTGGCCCTCCGCGCGCCGCGGACGCTGGTGACCCGCGGGCCCCAACCCTGGCCGGCGGGGCGGCGGGGCGGGCGGCGGGCGCGGTGTGGCCTGCGCCTTCCCTGCGCTCCGGCCCCGGCGGCGGCCCGGCGCTGCGCAGCTGCCAGCGTGTCGCCAGAACGCGCCTACCGCCCGCCGCCTGCCTTACAAGGCTCGAAAGTAAAAATAAAAAGAATTACGATGCGGGCCAGGCTTGCAAGGGGGAGAAGAGACTAGACTCCGCTCCTCTCTGCTCCTCTCCAAAGACCGAGTCGGGGCCGGACTCCAAGGGCCGCCGACCCCGCACCCCCTCCGGGAGGAAAGGCACAAAGACACCACAGGCTCCTGCTCAGGTGGTCGCCCCAGGTGTCATCTGCGGGCACCTGTCTGCCAAGACAGGGAGGGTGGCCAGTACGGAGCAAGAGGCCCGTCCTAAAGGCCACGCGCCAGGAGCCTCTCCAGTGGGCTGTGGTCAACACAAGACTTGTGCGCCCCAGCGAGACAAATCTAACATCCTTCACATTTTGAGCTCTGGACAATTCGCTGCGTCGTCCAGCCACCACGCCAAGTCTTTAGGGGCCTCCAAAGACTGGCCACCCCCTGCTGGAGCCGCACCAAGCAGCAGCTGCCTTAGGAGCAGATGGAAGGAGAGTCCAGCAGGACGCCCTCCTGGTGACACAAATGAACGTGACTGCACACCACTCCCAGTCCGCCCCACCCCTCCTGGGACCCACCAGAATCAATGGACAGGCCCTTTGGAGTTATCTGAAATCTGCAGAAGAGCAGTGTGAAGGTGGGGTGTGCACTCCCTCAGAACCCCAGCCAGCTGATAACACCTTATAACCTAGCCAATGAAGGGGGCAGGGGAGGAAGAGGGAGATGGGGAACGCACAGGGCTTCTGAAATTACTTTAATTGCAAATAACAAGGAAACCCCAACCAATTGAGAATCATTCCCCCAACAGAGTTTCAAGATGGTGGGTGGCAAGTCTGCAGCAAGGCTGCCCCTGCAGACTCATCCTACCAGTCCCATCAAAAATCCCAGCCAGCACAAGATTCTGGGGTGGAGGCCCAAGGGCAGCCTGAGGTCATCAGCCCCACCCCTTTAATTACTGAGCACTTGGTGTGACCTAGCCAAAGTCAATATGCGAAAGGTGTGAGGTAGGAAAGACACTACATCTTCTGCGTCTCAACCCAGGGATGTTAAGGGTCACTGCTGGTAACACGGCAGGACAAGCGTTCAGTCTAACATCACCCCTCCACTGGCCAATCAGTTGAGGGTGCTGAATCTCCCATCCAAGGAAGGAGAAGCCTTTGTCCAAGCCCCTTTCTGGCCTAGAGAGGAAGAAATAATCCCCTTTCACCACCAGCTCCTCACCCTCCCTACCCCAAGGACACTTACACCCAAGCTAGAAATCTCTTTACATGAAGTAGAGGTGGTGGCGTGTTACTTTTACCTATTCTTTCCTTTCTCAGAATACAAAATGAGGGGCTGTAAGCTGAAGGTTACTGCACATGGAACTTATCACTTAAGCTTTCCATGCAAGCTGCTAGCCTCCAACATCTGAACCAAATGAACAAAACTTAAAGACAAGCAAGCGTGGGGCCAAGAGAAGCCCCAAGCAGAGAGTAGGGTGTGGGGAGGTAAGCGCCTTTGATGAGCTTGCCTTTCTTTCCCTCAGCTTGTTTCTGGTTTCTTCCAGTCTGAAACCTGTTTCTTAATTTCTCTCCCCCATTACAAGTGCGGCAGAGGTGTGAGGTGTTAGCCTGAAGAGGAAGTGGCGGACCAACCCAGCCTGCTGTGGAGAGCAGGGTAAGCATGTCTGTCTGAAATGGGGGATCCAGACGGTTGCTGAAAGCCACAGGAAGCCTAGCATGGGCTTTTCACCTTGTGATTCCATAGCACCCCAGCTCCAGGACATGCTCCCTGACAAAAGGATGCAGGGACAGATTGTTAAGGAGAACAACCTTGTTCTCTTGCCCTCTTCAGCTTTCAGAAAGTGCTTCTGTGAATTAGCCCCAGAGAGTCTCAAAAAAAAAAAAAAAAAACCAAAAAACAGTGCAACTGTAGAAACCATTGCTTTGTAAAACATACTTGACAGCAGACCCCATGTGTGCCCTACTCACTTTGGACACTTATTTCCTAACTGGGGACTTCATACAGTCATTCTGCAGCCCCATCTGGGCCTGGGCCAGAGAACACAGAAGTATCCTGGAAAAGGGGACCCGTACTCCAGCCGTCAGTCCCTCATCGGTATAGGGCCTCAGCTTCCTGTTCGGTGGAAAGGAATGCCACTCCCTTTGGATTTTTGTGCGTTCTTCGCCAATGTTTCTCTGCCCTAGAATATTAAAGCCTTTCCCCATCATTGGTTAATTGACCATAAATATGATTTTTTTTTTATGGATAGTTCAGTGTAAAGTCCCATGATCCCCCTTGAGACAGTAACCTCTGAACAGATGAGCAGAGGGAGACCATGCAAACAGAAGATGCAAGGGACTTGCACATAGGGTGAGGCATCTGGGACAGGCCTGGAAAGACGGTCTCCTCGGGGATCCTTCCAAGCTGACCCCAGGGAAAAGGACGCATGGAAGGGGTGGGGGAAACTCAGTCAGCCTGGGAAGGGCGGCACTGCAGGGCTGTGCCGCTTGAGAGTCACCAGGCAGTTTTTTCCCCAGCCCTCTTTGCCTCACTCTCTTCCTTTCTCAGGTTGGCTTCCTCCGCTCACTTATGACCACTCACTGCTGCCTGTGCCAAGTTCAAAGACCTTCTGACGGTCAGCACGACCACCTTCATCTTCAGTCTTCCCCTAGTAATTCATATTCTCAGGGAAACAGTCCAATTGGCTTAGCCTAAGTCAGATGACCTCTCCCTTCAGCCCACGCCTCCCAACAGCTAAGGCAAGGGGCAGGTGGCACCATCCAGCACAACAGGCCTGGGAACAGAAGGGAGGGGAGGTGACTTTGGAAGGAGGAGATCTAATACAGATGTGTTTGGCTGGTGTTTGGCTTGTGGAAATGGGGAAGGCAGATTCTGGATCTGAGTTGGGAAGCCACCTTTAATGGATTAGAGTCTCCCGGGAAGGGTCCCAGACATGTGCATTTGAAGAAAGCACCACAACACGAAACTGCTATTCCACGTAGGAGAAAAGAATGAACACAAACAGATTTATCAAATATGACTCGATTGTGTTCAAAGCTGTGCTGGTTCATTGAGCAAATGTTTACCAAGTGCCCACCAAGTGCATGGTGCTGCGTTGGTGCCAGAGATACCCAGTTTTTGTTCCCATGGAGCATGCATATAAATGGATAAGTAGAAACACATATCACAAAACTCCTTAAATGCTGAGTGCACGGTTTATATGTACTAATTCAGGGGGGAAAGGAACTAGGAATATTTTTTAGTCAAGAAGTTGCACTGTCAGAAATATGCAAGAAAGAACAAACGAATGAAAGTAGAAGGGCTTGCAACTAGCAAAAAAAACATGTTCCAGAGGCCTTGTACACTCACAGACAACAAAACTATTATAAAGGTTCAACTTGCGGGCCTCCCTGGTGATGCAAGGGGTTGAGAAGCAACCTATGAAGCTATCAGTAGCCAGGGAGCTGACCCACAAGGCGCAGCAGACCTCTCCTGACTCTCCCACTGCTCCCCTCAGCAGTGTATTTTCAGTCAGTCTGCCTGTTCTGATCCCTGCTCTGTCTCTGGTGAATCCGCTCACTTCCACACCACTGGCCTGTACCCCAGTTCTTGTGTGCATAAATAAATAAATCTTTAAAAATAAATTAATTAATTAAGGCTCAATTTGCTAAGTGACTAGAACTTAAATGTTCCCAACACAGGCAGAAATGATCATTATGAGCCTGAGGTGTTAGCGAAAGCCACAGAAGCCACGGTACTGCACTACACATGTATCAAATCAATATATTGTGCACCTAAAATATATTGTGCACCTATATCAACTCAATATATTGTGCACCTACATCTCAAAAAAGGAGGGGTGGGATCATGGATCCAAGATGAGTTTGGGGAGAGGAAAGGAGAAAATGGAAGATGAAAAGCAGGCAGAACCACCCAGAAAGCATTGCAATCATCCATCTAAAAGAAAATAAAGGGCCTCCCCGGTGGCGCAGCGGCTGAGCACTGGGTTGCTAAGCTGCCCGCAGCCTCTGCAGCGCCGGTTCAATCCCCGGCCACTGGGTGAGGGTCGTCCCACATGGCGCGCAGACCTCTCCTGCCGCCCGCTGCTCCCCGCAGCAGTGTGCTTCGGTCCCTCTGCCTGTTCTGCTCCCCGCTCTGGCTCTGGTGAATTCTCTCACCCTCCCGCGCTTCTGACTGTACCCAGTGCTTGTATAAATAAAATAAATAAATCTTTAAAAAAAAAAAAAAAAAAGAAAAGAAAGATTATGGTTTCTTACTTTTTTTTTTTTTAAGAAAAACTGCTGAAAAATGAAAATAGTGTTTTTTTCTGAGTAGTAGTGTTATGGCGTCTTCGCCAGCATCTTTCACACTAGTCTACATTTTCCAAATGTTCTACAATGAGCATCCATTATAGTACTTTACTAATGTTCCAATGATGAAGGCAGGGGTTCCGTGAGGACAGTGGTTCTCACTCTTGAGTGTGCATCAGAATTGCCTGTAGGGCTTATTAAAATGCAGCTTGCGGCCCCCACCCCAGAGTTTCTCCTTCAATAAGTCTGGGCGAGGACCTGAGGATTCACATAGGTAACCAGTTCCCAGGTGCAGCTGCTGCTGCTCTGTGAACCATACTTTGAGAATCACTGACTTAGAGACTAGTCAGTGAGACTGGAAAAATGAATGCACGAGAGCCTTCAAAGGAAGAACCAAAAGGACCTGCCCCATGATTGTCTACGAGGAGAGAAAAGATTATGGTCAAAGATAATTCCTTAGTCATGGGTTGACTAAGTCTCTTTGAGATAACCCATGAGAATGCTATGTGATGTGTAATAGTGTAAAAAAAGAAAAAATTAAGCCCTCACTTCCTTCGCTTCTCGCAGATGGGAGAGAGATCCAACCACATAGTAGGAGAACCTACACCTCTGGGTGAGTTTCAAGGCTGAGTTAAGCACTGCTTGGAGTTTCTGGTCTTCCTGTCTTGGGGATTTCCTCTGGTACATTCTGTTTCCATGACAGGTTCTAATGGGCAGAGCCTGGGAAAAGGCTTAATTCGAATTTCTCCAGCAGGGAACAGAGCCAAGAGACTTATTTGAGGAGGCAAAAAGGGGTGTGTGCTAAGGGCGAGTCTTGAACTGGTGGAGTGAAGCTCGTTAGCTCAGGTGCCCTGGCCAAGGCCAAACCCAGCCTATCAAGTCTCTGGCTGGAGGCGAAATGGAAACAGAGTAGCTGTCAAGTCCTCTGGAGCATAAACACAAGGATGAGCTGATGATCCAGAATCCAGATTTAGTCAATTCATTCAGTCGACAAGAATTTACCAAGCATCTAGCTAGTCCAGGCCTAGTAGTGTGTGTAGAAATAAAAGGCTGGGCGCTCGCGCTCAGGGATGGGGGAGACGTTATAAGCGAGTATAAAGGCTCTGCAAATAAACGCCCTCACAGGGAACTGAATTCCAAGGCCAGAGGGGACCTACATGGGGTTTCACATAAGAACCTGGAATACGGGCCTCCCTGGTGGCGCAAGGGGTTAAGACACAACCTATGAAGCTAACCGCAGCCACTGCAGCATGAGTTTGGTCCCCGACCAGGGAGCTACCCACATGGCGCAGCAGACCTCTCCTGACTTGCCCGCTGCTCCCCTCAGCAGTGTATTTCAGTCTATCTGCCTGTTCTGTTCTGTACTCTGTCTGGTGAATCCTCTCACCCCTGCACCTCTGGCCTGTACCAGTTCTTGTATGCATAAATAAATCTTAAAAAAAAAAAAAGAACCTGGATTCGGTTCATAGCCTCACTTTACTGCTTTTGGAGAAATCTTGGTCCAAAAAAAGAACCTGGAATAGGTTCATAGTCTCACTTTACTGCTTTTGGAGAAACCTTGGTCCAAGTACTTAATACTCTTCCCTAGTTTCTTCATCTTCCAAAAAAAGGTGGAGGGAAGGGGAATATAAGCAAGACCCATGAATAGGTTGTGTTGAAGATTAAATAAATGACTATTTGCATACAGCACACAACAGTACCTTCACATTTGGCACCATTTCTCTTAAGGAAACAAATCAAAAGAAAACATTGACATATTTGCATAACAATTAAAAATTTGTGTGTGGTGCCAGAGGGCATAAGTCAAGATAAATGACAAACCAAAGAGGAAATATTTGCCATACAGATGGAAAAGGGTGAATACTTTAAATGTATAACTCTTAAACTGGTTCTTTTCAATGAGAAGAGAGTTATCACGCTAAAGAGAGTTATCACCCAAAGAGTTATCACGCCACTTCAAAAAGGAAGAAACAAAAATGGAGTATTCCCAAGAAAAGATGCCCATCCTCAGTTAAAAGCAAAGAAATGAAAAGGAAGAAAATGGGGCATCTCATGCCACCTATAAGGTTGGCACAGATTAAAAAGAAAACCATAACCAATGATGGCATGAATGTTGGCTGGAAACAGGACTCGGCACGACTATTTAGGAAGGCGTCTGACAAAATGAATTAAAATTTCATGAGCGGAGCCATTGACTGAAATTTCCAACTTCTAGGAATTTTTCCCAAGGAGCCACCATAAACGAGACTGTTAACTTCCCCTAGCAGCGAGGCAATAGCTCCATGAAAGCAGGTCTGGAACCTAATTTTATTCAGCAGTTACCCCAGTGCCCGCTGCACGTGGGAGGCACTCAATCAGCATGTGTGGAATAAATCTAAAGAGTCCAACAAGGTATTTAGGGGGACGTTTAAAATCACAAACTGGGGCTCGAGGCCACGGCCCATGGTGGCCCAGGTTCTCTTTCTTCCCTTCCATTTGCATTTTGTAGTCATTTTAAATGAAGACTTCCCTTTTTCTGTCACATTCTCATATGCTATGTGCGTGACAATTTACAGACATTTCACAAAGTCAGAGTTGGTTGGGGTGGGGGAATATGTTGGGGAAAATTAAAGCATTCTGTGATCTTTTCAACTAGAAGGGACAAGATGATCCCTTTCAGAAAAGCCTGGTTCTCCCAGCCAACAGAATCAATAAGTGGAACAAGTATTACAGCCTGTGTGGTGAGGGCTACCATCAGCTTGTGGGAAAGTTTGCAGTTCATAGGTTTTGAGTATTTAACTTTCTCCGCCAACTCTTACGTAGGTCCATAGATGATAGAAAATACCCTTGAATTAAGATTTATGGGGGGGCCTCCCTGGTGGCACAAGGGGTTAAGATGTAACCTATGAAGCTATCTGCAGCCTCTGCAGCATGAGTTTGATCCCCAGCCAGGGAGATACCCACACGGCACAACAGACCTCTCCTGACTTACTCACTGCTTCCCTCAGCAGTGCATTTCAGTCCATCTGCCTGTTCTGTTTCCCGCTCTGTCTCTGGTGAATTCTCTCATCCCCCATACCTGTGGCCTATACCCCAATTCTTGTATGCATAAATAAATCTTTTAAAAAAATAATTATGGGGGGCAGTTTTTATGCTCTATTTCCAGGTTGATCTCCCATAACAACTCACCCTTATAAGTGATCAAATGTGGTTACATCTTTTTCATATATCTTTTTAATCTGATAGGAAACCTGTGCCCAGCTGAGTTACTCCACATGGCCAGAACCACTTCTACATCTCCTGCCTTCCCACCAATATTCCCTGTAGTAGGAGCTTGCCCTGGAGGCAGCTGCCTCTCAGATCTAGCAGACTCCACCATTGACAGCGCATGCTCCCTATTCCTGGTAGCTGTGTCCTGGAAAGAACCACAAACACTGAGTTAGCAAACACAGAACCACTGCTCCAAAAGGAAACAGAGAGTTAGGTTCCTGAGAGTAGCCGGTCACATTTTTGTTAACTGAGCAATATATGGCCTTATTTATCTGTGTTTTCGTCCATTTTAGGACACCTTATTTGACATGTATCAATAATGTGAACTCACAGCCAACAGCACTGTAACTCATTCCTGAACAAAGCTTAGCTCCTTCATAAAGCAACCACAGCCTTCACACAATTAGGAACACTAAATGTTTCAGCACTAGATCGGGTGCTCATTTTAAACAGCAAAATCACAAGAAGCACAAAAATTGTGGTGCCCAACAGACCACGGGAAGGACCCCGGTTCACAGTATGAGAACTAAAGAAGGCAAAGCGTGCTTTGTTCAACCTCAGCTGCAGTGTGTTTGTAAAATGACTCAGTGTTTTTTTCTCACTCTGTACCTATCCACGAATGACCATGAAAGCACCGGATATTGATTTGGGGGTTATAAAAAATTTTAGCAAATGTGGCAATTCATAAAATATGTAATCTGTATCTGTATCTAACGTGGATCACTGTATTTAATAACTACGGCAAGGTCACACAGCTGGTAAGTGATGAGGCTGGGATTTGAACCCACTCTGGCTAGAGTTTGGAGTCATGTCCCAGGTGGGAAGCAAGGGAAGCTTCCAATCAATCCAGAGCGTTTGGCTTCTTCTCAGAATACTTCTTGGAGGGTTTTCCTCAAGAGAGGAGAACATGGGATTAGGAAATAAAGGAGGAAGGACATTCCTTCAGCAAAACTGAATGAAAAGGTATTGCTTGCAAAAAAAAAAAAAAAAAAAACCATGCGCAGCTTCTAGGACATAAGCAATATGGTGTAATTTTGCAATTAAAAAAAAAAAATGAATCAACCAGAAAACCAAGTGTCAGATTGAAAGTGTCTAGAGGTCGGGCGCCTGTCTTAAACTTCTCTGCTGCTCCCAGCATGTGGCCAAGTGGTGAGCAAAAAAGAGCAACCACTAACTGGGAAAAAAGTGCCCTTTTTTAATCCCCCGCAAGCTGGTATTGTATAGCTCCTCAGATGAAAGTAGCATCATCAACGTTTTCTTCCCCTGAAGTTTTTAGAGCGTCTATTGTTTTCCTGTCTTCAGTGAGCACACAAAGCGCCACAATCTCATGGCTACGTTTGCCAAAGTCTGAACCTTGCCAAGCAGTGACTTCTCTCATTTTAGTTTTTCAGAGAGATGTGAGAGAAAAC